GGCATGTTTTTATGGTGGTTGCAGTGTCCTGGGGTCATGTGATCACCATTTGCAACTTCCCCAGCCGGCTTCCAACAAGTGCAGTTAGTGAGAGAAGCCAGATTCACTCAATCATGTGATTCACTTAAATACAATGATTTGCATAACAACCATGGGAAAAAATAATGTCTGATTTCATGATACCTCAAAGATGTGGAAACAAAACCTTATTGGGTGCACCTCACTTAGCCACCATCTTTCTTAGCAACGGACGTTCTGGCCAGTGGTGGGTTCCTCCCGGTTCGGCCTGGTTCTCCTGAGCCGGTAGCGGTGACGATATGATGTCACCGAACTGGTTCTGCCTACCCCGTGCCCACCCCCACCCACCCCGTTTCCCCCACCCCACCCCACCCGCGTTATTCTTACCTTTTATTTGGCCTCACCCCCAATCTATTGCTGCCTCCTGAGTCCCAGCTGATGGCTAGAGGGAAAAAAACTGTTTAAACCCTTGCCGCGGGGCTTCAAAGGGCCGCCCTACAGCTGATCAGTGGTAAAAGAAAACAAATCAGTAGACCAGTGCCTGCAAAAATACATGAGTAGATCAGTGCCTGCAAAAATAAATGGGTAGACCAGTGCCTGCAAAAATACATGAGTAGACAGTGCCTGCAAAAATACATGAGTAGATCAGTGCCTGCAAAAATAAATGGGTAGACCAGTGCCTGCAAAAAATAAATGGGTAGATCTGCAAGCAGTTAAAAACCTGGTAGACCAGTATCTCTGCTAATTCCTAAATAATTGTCACATGACCATCAAGCCACGCCCACAAAGTAAGCCATGCCCACAGAACCGATAGTAAAAAATTTTAGAATCCACCCCTGGTTCTGGCCCCAATGGTGAATGTAAGTTAAGGACTACCTGCAAATCAGAATTAGTCAAGTGACAACTATAGCAGACATCCTTAATTCCATAATTCTACTCATTAAGAGAAATAGACACCTCTGTTATTTACCTACCTATCCACCCGCCCACCTACCTGTATCATAATAGGATTCCCAGCAGTTTTCTGCAAGTTATGAATAAAATAAAGTCTCTCGTGTCATGTTATGTTCGGAAACAGAAGCTATTTTTGGCACCATTTTTGTCCTCACTGCCATCATCTGTTCTTGCCTGCATGGTAATTGGCCTGGATGGTTATAGCATCTATAAAACTTTCCATGTCTTTGAGGCATCATGAAATCAGACGTTACGTCATGGCATCCTGGAGAAACTTGAATGATTTTGCTGCAATTGGATTCTACAGCAGTGAGAACAACCGAGTTCAAGAATAACGTAGGAAAAATTAGAAAGACAAATGAAGGATAGCAACAACATTTGAAACAAGATACTTGCAAAGAATATTAAAAATTACAGAAAACTTTAGATGATTTAATGTGAAATGAAACACCCTTTTAATAATGTCCTGAAATTTCTGAGAGCTACTAAAGAAGCTGAACATAATACAAGCAAATCAAAGGTGAACATTATTTGGAATTATTTTTTGGTAGATTGTCTCTTGGAAACATGTAGGCCATTGTTTCTGGAAAGAATAACAGTAGGATCTGCAAGCCAATCTTATTTCTCCCATTTGTTTAGCAGTGAAATATTATCCTGTTTTCTGATGGGCCTTTGGGGACACACAGCAATGAAAACAAGATGGTTCAGTTCCCATAAGAATTTGTCCATCTGTTCTTAGCTGTGTTTCATTCTTCCTGCCACATTTCAGCATGCCTGCATGAATATGGACTAAAACAATGTGTGAACTGGGCAATTGATGGAAATAACTAACAACAACTCATGTCATCATGGAAGCATAATTTTTTTGAGTGATATATTCCTTTATATCAGGCATGTTTAATCTGAGGCTCCAGTGCCATATGCCCTTCAGTGGTTGCCAAAAACTATAATTTTGATGTGAGGTAATTTTGTTGCATGGGAAATTATCATTTAACTACAGATGGTGTTCGACTTACAACCACAATTGAGCCCAAAATTTCTGTTGCTAAGTGAGACATTTGATAAGTGATTTTACGACCTTTCTTGCCATAGTTGTTAAGTGAATCACTGCATTTGTTAAATTAGTCACAAGGTTGTTAAGTGAATTTGGCTTCCCCATTGACTTTGGTTGTCAAAAGGTCACAAAAGATGATCACATGACACTGCAGTCATCATAAATATGAATCAGTTGCCAAGTGTCTGAATTTTGACCACGTGACCATAGGGATGCTGCAACAGTTGCAGGTGTGAAGAATTGCGTAAGTCACTTTTTTCAGTGCCATTGTAACTGAATGGTTATTAAATGAACTGTTGTAAGTCGAGGACTACCTTTATTTTCAAACTGTAAATTTAATTTTAATTCAATTACATTTAAAAAAATAATTTGCCCAATCTACTATCTTGTCCTACCTTCCTTAATTTTTAGAGTCTAGCGCAAGGCTGTCAAACTCACGGCCCGCAAGTCCACGCCCACACCTGGTTTAGTGAAGGGGGGAAAAGTCACGATACGCCACCGTGACGACACAGGTTTGACACCCCTGGTCTAGTGCATTACATGTCTTTCATTAGCTCTCAGAAATTATGACAAATATTGTGCCTTCTGCCATTTGTATACATACCTACATCATATATATGCATCATGCCATATAGAAATATATGATATGTATTATATATGATAGCAACATCACAGGACTATTGCCAGATTTAGGTTATGCCTAAATGTTCAGTGTTTTCCTGGATTATTATCATCCCATTTTGTCATTGTTTTTCACTGAAATTTATGCTTCATATATTTATTTCAGAAAATTAACAGCTATTGTCAATATTTGATAGTTAAGAAATTGGCCAATGCTGCTTGCTCCTGATTTATCTGAACTGATTGCTGTCTTCACAGTGAGCACTTTTTTGTGCAATTGCCTCAGTGTAACAATTCAGTAGTCCATTCAAATAGTGATATATCATTGCGGCAGTTTAACAAAATTAATGAAATGAGATATGCAGTACAACCTTAGGCAAAGTGTATATTAAAATTACAGTCCTAGGTACTCTTCCTACTGTAGAGACTCGCAATCTTTTGAGACAACAGTTGCACCACATACTGTATTTTTTGGAGAGTAATGCTTATTTTCCTGACTGCAAGTTCTGTAAATTCCCATTTCTGTTTCAGAATGCGAATGCTGCACAAACATCCCTATAAAAATTTATATATATCTAATACATAATACATTTATGCATGGAGCTTTCTAAGTATACACACATGTTTTGAAAGTAATATCCCTACTCTCATGCATATTTCTACTTGCTTTAACTTAATAAATGTATCTTTATGTGTTTCCCAATTTAATAAGGGGAGTCCTTGACTTACAAGTTCATTTTGTGACCATTCAAAGTTACAACAGCACTGAAAAAAGTTACTTATGACCATTTTTCACACTTAGGACCGTTGCAGCATCCCAGTAGTCATGTGATCAAAATTTAGACGCTTGGCAACTGGGTCATATTTATGATGGTTCCAGTGTCCCCGGGATCATGTAATCCCCTTTTGCAACCTTCTGACATGCCGAGTCAGTCTGACAAGCCAGATTCACTTAATCATGTCATTAACTTCACTTTAGTGATTTACTTAACAACTGTGGCAAGAAAGGTGGTAAAATGGGGCAAAACTCACTTTAATTTAATTTAATTTAATTAATTCAATTTATATGCCGCCCCTCTCCGAAGACTCAGGGTGGCTCACAATACATTTTAAAAAAATCATTATAAAAAAACATTTAAAAATTAAAAACATTAAAAACTCATTCACGCTATTCATGGCTGGATCTCGCCAGATCACAAGAGCGAGATCAACGGCCCCAGGCCTGCCGGAAAAGCCAGGTCTTCACCGCTTTTCGGAAGGCCTATAGGGTGGGGATGGTCCGGACCTCAGGAGGTAACTGGTTCCAGAGAGCTGGGGCAGCCACAGAAAAGGCCCTCCCCCATGGGCCCGCCAGCCGGCATTGTTTAGCTGACGGGACCCGGAGGAGACCAACTCTGTGGGATCTTACCGGTCACTGGGAGCTATGTGGCAGAAGGCGGTCTTGAAGATAACCTGGCCCTGAGCCATGTAGGGCTTTAAAGGTAATAACCAACACCTTGAATTGTAACCGGAGACCAATAAGGAGGCAGTGCAACACTTAACAAAAGTATTGCTTAGGAACAGAAATGTTGGGCTCAATTGTGGTCATAGGTCGAGGACTACCTGTGTAGACATTGGGAAAGGGATTGTATTCCATTCCAGTTTGTGTAATGGTTTGTGAAGTGCATTTTTGATAACTTTGCAAAGAAATGTGTACCAAGCAAATTGACAGCCCTCTTTCCAAGTAAATATACTTAGATTTCCATCTATGCTAACTGGACGGAGGAGGCATATCAAGATGTTTAAGACATAAAATATTCATTTTACCTCTCATTCGCCACCTCCTCACCTTCTTTCTACTGTTTCATATGGCTCTGCTATTTTGTCCCAAAGGTGCTTTCTTTCAAAAGGCAACTAGACTTTGTCTCATCTAAGAAGTGAAGCGTCTTCTAGCACAGGGATCTCCAACCTTGGCAACTTTAAGCCTGGATGACTTCAACTCCCAGAACCCTGCTGTCTGGGGAATTCTGGGAGTTGAAGCCCTCCAGTCTTAAAGTTGCCAAGGTTGGAGCCCCCTGTGCTAGCAAAAGAAGAAAGTCCAGTTGACTTTTGAAAGAAAACACCTTTGGGACAACCATGATCTGGACGACTGAGAATCTCCATAGACACCGCTGTGTTGTTGGCCATTGAAGTCACTGGCCTGGGAAACAGGAGTGGAATTGTCAATCCTAAGTAATAAAACAACTCTTGGGGCTATATTTTAATTGATATGTTTTATAGAGCTGTCTGCTTTCAAAATGATTCAAAGGAAATCCTTTGAACTTCATGCAAGCACAGCTCTTCATTAAAGAAGCACTGTCCTTTTTATTTTCAGGCTTTCACATGAGTCTGGAAAAATGAAGCAGTTTGAAGTCAATTCAATGACTTTTGACCGAATAAAGACCAAACAAAATGAGTTTGTGCTTAATGGAGTTGGAGTAGCACTGAAGCCACCGATTGTGTAGGTGAATTGAAATTGGTCCAAGACACATTGTTCAGTTTAGTGCAGTGATTGGAGCTATTGTGAATGACTGTTTGAAAAGAGCAGGTGCTGTGATGGTTCTATGTATATTTTTTTCTTCTATAAAATCTTTAATAAAAAGCAAAAAAATAAATAAATTAAAATGTAGACCTAATTGGAAAGATTGGAAAGATAGTGACTGTGAGATGTAAAATAGGTTGGTGATCTTTAAAAAAAGGAGCCCTTACTCTGTGTTATCTGTTTCTTCCTTTTTAAATATATGCTGAGTGAAAGAATTCAGTTTAAAAAATGGCTTAGGGCAAAGGTCAACAACATAATCCTATTTAAAAAGATCTGTTTTTTAAAAAAATTAAGACAGCAGGTTACTAATTCTCACCAGATTTTAACATTGTCATAAAATACTGTTTTTCCAAACTTCATGAGATCTTGCATGAGAACTACTTCTACGATATCATAGTCAAATTTATTTATTATTAATCAAATTATTATAGTCATGTGATTTTACAAACTTACATATTAAATTTCAGCAACGCCATACAATTTTGAGTGACTACAATGATGAGTCCTAGCTTAAAATATTTGGAGCAGGAACTCTTAAACCCATTGTAAAGTGTTGCCCATACCAATAGAAGAGCAGCGTATGTCAGCATAAGAACTCAAAGGCAGTCATGACCAACCGAAGTGCCTAGATAGGCTTTATAAGTAATCATGACTTTTTTTGTGGCAAGAATACTGAAAACACCAGAAATTTATAGCTCCTGTATTTTGTTTTTAACTACAAACCTACGGAAGTATAGTAGGAAGCAATGGTGGGTTTCAAAATTTTTTACTACCGGTTCTGTGGGTGTGGCTTGGGGGGCGTGGCATGGTGGGCATGGCAGGGGAAGGATACTGTAAAATCTCCATTCCCACCCCACTCCAGGGGCAAGGATACTGTAAAATCTCCATTCCCTCCCCAATCCAAGGGCAAGGATACTGTAAAATCTCCATTCCCTCCCCAATCCAGGGGAAGGTTACTGCAAAATCTCCATTTCTTCCCAATCAGCTGGGACTCAGGAGGCAGAGAATAGATGGAGGTGGGGCCAGTTAGAGGTGGTATTTACTCATTCTCGAACTACTTAAACTTTCTGCTACCGGTTCTCCAGAACTGGTCAGAACATGCTGAAACCCACCTCTGGTAGGAAGTATAAGGCAGTGCCTACCTCATAGTAAAAGTAGCTCTTAGGAAAAATAATCAAATAACCTTCATATTCCTGTCACTTTGATGGACAGTCCCCAATTATCCAGACACAATGCAGTGGTCTATTAATTTTGGTATTCTCCTGAGAGTATGGAGAGAGAGCAAGTTTTTCACTTTGAGCTCTTCCTAAGTGACTTTCATGTTTTAGCCTTCTGCTCTTGCACAAATTTTACAAGGATGGATGAAAAAAAGTCAGTTTTTTGAGCCATGTCCAAGAGCAACTATCTCTTTTTATAAAGCTTTTGAAGAAAGATAGCTTGCCATATCAATATTTAATCTTTATGTGCTTGTTTGGTGAAAGATAGTACAGATGGCAAGGAAGGAGGGATATGATAATTTCCAGAGTACCTCTTGAACTCTTTTCAAGGACTTTCCACTCAGACACCTGCCAGTTTTCTCCTCTTACCTTTTTTAAAAATTTGTTTTGTTTTGTTTTTTCATTCCAAAGCATGAGCAGGATATAGCATTCACATTATCTAGGTTTTCCATTATCTGTGGGCACTGGAATGCCAGGAATCCAGCACTGGACTTCGCATGTACTTCACCACAGTAAATCTAACTAACTCATTTCTTCAATTTAGCTGACTTCCTCGGCACTGCAAACAAAATAAGCAGGATTAAAATAATAAAGAAATAATAGCAACGATATCTATGTCAAAAGAATATTTATTTCCTGATATTTTAATTTGACAGGATACTGTTATATATTTTTTCATTTTTTTCCCCATTTTTATTTGATTTATATACCGCCCAACTCCCGAAGGACTCAGGGCAGTGAACAGCCACAGATAAAACACATAAATACAAAATTTAAAAGCAAAGTAAAACCGAATTAAACAATTTGGCCCAAGACAGATTTAAAACACCCCAATAATTTAAAACAGATTAAAATTTACATTTTAAAAAGGGAAAAAAGGGAAAAGATTAGGCCAGGCCAGCCTGATGGAATAAAAAGGTTTTAAGAGCGCGGCAGAAGGTGCGCAGATCCAGGATCCTCCGTATCTCTGGGGGGAGCTCATTCCAGGTAGTAGGTGCCCCCACAGAGAAGGCTCTCCCCCTGGGGGCCGCCAGTCGACATAGTTTGGCCGACGGCACCCAGAGGAGCCCCTGTCTACTGGCCAGTGAGAGGCTTTTGGTGGCAGCAGGCGGTCCCATAGGTAACCAGGTCCTAAGCCATGGAGCGCTCTAAAGGTGGTAACCAAAACCTTGAAGCGCACCTGGAAGACCACCGGAAGCCAATGCAGCTTGCGCAGGAGAGGTGTTACATGGGAATGCCATGTCGCTCCCATAACCACCAGTGCGGCCGCACTCTGCGCCAGTTGGAGCCTCCAACTGGCGCAGTATATCCAGTATATATCCAGTAGCTAAGAGCAAATACTAATGTCCTATGATGATGCAGATCTTGTAATATCTGGCTTTATATACTCTCTATAAACAGATTATAAATGGCAAGGTGCATACATTCTTTTTGCAAGCATCAGATTATCAGAAAGCAATTTATGTGATCCCTTAAGATTGCAAATCAGTTTTAGCTATTTCCAGTCCTGACAACATATCCATTATTTTTGCTTCAGTGGAGAAGACAGCTCTACATTTGCAAAGAAATGAACGCCCCAATTTATGCTCTCTGCTGAAATGAAATTTAAAAATTGTTTACCTTTGAGCTCTACCACAGTATGTGCAGTCTTATGAGTTTCAAACCATGTATCTATCCTGGTGCAGTTCTATATTTTTTTACTTCATTAAAACATTTATATAGCCATCCATCTTGAATAAATATCTGGATGGTTCACAAACTCTTGTTATAGGTGATCAGTTTCTTACACATAGTAGATGCTTATCTTAATATTGTGTAACTCTACATCAGTGATGGCTAATCTTTTTCAGACTGAGTGCCCAAAGTGCACCCCCTGCGCATGCACGTGTGCCCCGATACACGCCCCGCCCCTGCGCATGCACACATGCCCATGCCCATGCCCTGGGCATGCACACGCAGCCCCCCACACATGCTCCGCCCCATGCGCATGCATGCATGTCTCCCCGCACGCGCCCCATGCATGTGTCGCACAGACCCGAAGACCAGCTGGCTGGCAGATGGAGCATGCGTATGCACGATGGAACTGAATTGGGTGATAGCTTGCATGCCCACAGAGAAGGTGCTGCGTGCCATCTCTGGCACACATGCCATAGGTTTGTCATCACGGTTCTACATAGTCATTAAAATTGGAATTAGCTTTTCATGTGAGGCCCAATTAATAATGTGATGTTTTATGGATTTGCATCATCCTTGTAAACAAACCTATAAAGTTATAATCTTTCAGTATTTCTAATTAACTTGTTGACAGAAGCAGCTCAAAGACATTTTGCTGCCTGAATTGAAGACCAAGATGCAACTACCACCCCATTCTATGTACAAAAAGGAATTGAACTGGCAGTTGAATCTTACTTCAATACTTCTGGTGAAACAATTATCTTGATTGGATTTGACAGTGGTAGATAGGTTTGGAACAGGGGTGAAATTCAAATTTTTTCTCTACTGGTTCTGTGGGCTTGGCAGGGGAAGGATACTGCAAAATCTTCATTCCCACCCCATTCTGGGGCCAGCCAGAGGTGGCATTTGCCGGTTCTCCGAACTACTCAAAATTTCCGGTACTGGTGCTCCAGAACCTGCTGAATTTAACCCCTGGTTTGAAACAAAAGACAGCAAATGCAACCTACATAAGTTTTTTTCCCCCAGCATGCATAATTCTGGTTTTTTCTGTTCCAATCAGCCCTTGACACCTAAGACAGTCCTCACTCTTAAGAATAATAATGTTAAATTCATCAACATGCTATTCCATATCATCTATGGCTGCTGAGCTGGTGTTTTTGTAAGCTGTAGGATATGCTATATCTTTTCTCTTCCTGGAGTATATTCAGTGTAATTGTTCATTGCTTTCACTCCACAAACCAAAACCTCTGGCCAAGTAATGTCTTCTATGTTCTTAACAAGTTTTAATCTACAGATCCAAACACTTAAAAAAAAAATCTCAGGGGACCTCACTCTTCAGAGTACTTTGAAATAACTCAACATGAAACATAAAGAAAAGCAGATGTGTATGTAAAAGGGTCAGAACATTTAGACTGAAGAACATAAAAATATCAGCGTTCTTCCCTATTCCTGAGCCATACCCAACAAAACTGTACTATATTAAAACTGCAACGTTGAAAGTTTCTCCAGATAACTCTTTTTAACAGCAGACTCTTTGCCAGTTCCTGTGGTTGTAATTTTTTTTTTTTAATTTGATTTATATGCCGCCCTTCTCCGAAGACTCAGGGCGGCTTACAATGTGCTCAGCAATAGCCTTCATCCTTTTGTATATTTATACAAAGTCAGCTTATTGCCCCCACAACTGGGTCCTCATTTCACCTACCTTAGAAAGGATGGAAGGCTGAGTCAACCTTGAGCCTTGGCGAGATTCAAACCCTGCAGTAATTGCAGGCAGCTGGTCTTAATAACCAGCTTAATAACAGGGTGCCTTAAACCCCTGTACTACCAAGGCTTTTTCCCATCAGGCCTGCAAAGTCATGTGAATGTGCCATGGTCCTTGTCTGCTTCCCTTTAGTTCTGTGAGATAGCATATCTTTACATTAAACTATGAATTCATTGACAATGAATGTGGTAGTTAGTACCCTAATTTAGCTGGTTTTGTGAAGGGACTATGGAAACATTACGCTATCAGTGATTAGCAGTTTTGAT